TAGATGCTAAGTGATGAGCAATGACTTTCTTGAAGTCCAGCTTCATGCCCCAGTTCTCGAATTGGCCGTACGGATAAGCTTTCAGTCGGATCTGAGATGTCGACCTAAATTCGAAACAGTGTGGTAACCATGGGCCAAGATCTCTCAAAGGCATGCTCCGCGTGCGTTTGATTTTCTGGCGCCGTCTTCGGACCTGGTCCTCTTTCTGTGGCTGCGTCGCGTCTCGTGAGATTGGAGCCCTGCATGACACAATGGACTTCTATTCCCTCTACATTGTATCACTTCACCCGTAAGCCCTCTGGAAAGCTATGAGCGGGATCCATGATCGCTGGGAGAAGTTTGTCAAAAGAAAAGATTCAGCAGATAAGAGCTCACTTCTCTGGCCTCTGACAAAAAATTTGCGGATACTTTTTCGTGGATGCAGGTGGTTTTTGACTTTTCACTGAGCACAACTTCTTTGAGTCATTGGATGGATTTCCTACACAGATTTGGAGAGCGGATTTTCTTTCTCCAAGGAGCACTCTACTTATGTTCCGGGACAGCGTGACAGCAAGATTTCTGCCCCTGCGCGGATTCTCTTCGCGATTTTTCGACTGTGTCTCTCCAATCAATTGTCTATATTTCCATGTAGGAAACCTTGGAGACTTTTAGTACACCTATTCCACTCGATCAACTAGGAGCAAGCCAGAGGCGCTGACCAGCCTTTCTACGGAATACGCCTAGCACTCGTTCTTCATTCAGAATGCAGTGAAATTTATAGAAATATAAGTCTTTGAAATACGGACCCAATATGGACCAAGCAGCTGTTTGAGGCAACTGATTTGTTATGGGTTGACGAGCTGATGTAGATGCTGCGCTCCACGGCGAGGTCAATGTTGCCCAGCGCTGTCACAGCTCTGTTCAGTACTGACGCCAGCACATAAGACCACTTCCGCCTTCTGGCTAGCTAGACCCACAAGCGTCGCGTGACGCACGCTGAACCCTTATGGTTACATGTCTCATTTAAAACGGTCACTTCGACCCGTCATTCTCCTTGGTCGGACTCCTAGCGAATTTTAACATAGCAGGAACGACTACAGGTTTCGCTAAAAGATTATCTGCTATTCCTGCTTGTAGAGAGTACAGAAAGGTGCAAAGGATCGGTTTGTCTTTCGAAACCGGAGTTTCTGCTATTATTAGTTAATGATTAGAATCGGAGCTTTTTGATTTGAAGGTGTGTGTCTGGCTCACAGATATCATTTCTGACAGTCCCTAAAGAATCTTTCTAGATTTTGAGAAATGAGACTGCGATACAAGAATGTGGGACTTCCGTAACAAACAACAACACAAACCATTCGATCCACCATGAAACGGCCTACCGATTTGTCTGTTTTTCGAATTATGAAATAGAAGAAATTCAAGTGCTTGAATACTTTTCACCGTGTTCCAGGTTTCATCGCTTTCATGACAGAACTCTTCTCAAGTGAAGCACTATGAGGCTCATGGCTATCCTTAAATTGTTTGATCCTGTGGATGTCCAACGCTTCAAAACGAGCATATCTTTATTTTTTTATGCTTCAAGTCTGCTCTGCGCAGGATGAAAAACAGTTCCAACTATGCTGGAGACTGTCCTTCATATGAGTTCCTTTTGTTATCTCATTGTGAACACTTCAAGTGAGTCGTGGCCGTATTTTTTCATGACTCACCATTTATTCGGCAACAATTTAACGACTACTCCTCTATCAGTACTAGTCATTTTGTTTGCTTGATTTTCCGCCGTCACTGGTGACTAATGCAATACGTTCAAACGCTATCGAATAGTAATCGCGTGGCGGAAACCCTATCTGTCATCTGAGCAAACGTGCTTATAAGGCGCTTTGGAATCACCGAAACGCCGCAATCACCTAATGCCTTCTCTGCGAGTCGCCGTCTGTCTTCTGGTTTGCGCTTGCGCAGCTTTTGCCTTCCAATGTTACTCTGGTAAGTATTCTTTTGCTCTCTTTATGAGAATCAACCTACACACCTTGAAAGAGCTCAAGTATCAATTTTCACTGGGAACAGAAAACTTTCAACCTCAAAAGGATGCAGCTATGGTGCTGCGTACTGCTCATTAGAGTGATCCATCCCAATATAGCCGAAAGCTCAACGAATTAATTTGGAGTAGCAGGAGCAAAAGCACCATCCTGTGATAAACTACAAAGGCCAGGATGAAGCGCTAGTTGGCAGCCAGCCCTTTTGATCCAGAACGCTTTGAGTTTCCACTTAGAATCTTGAAAACATTTCTAGAGGAACAGAACTTATACCAGGTCTGAGAGAGTCAGCAGATGTTGTTGGACTATTGCCTATGTTGTCTAGTTCAGTCTGGTGTCATTTAGAACTACATTAAGCCCCAGTCATTTGGCTCGAGCTCGGCTTACCGTTCATTGGTACATCACCAGCACGTGGTCTTCCTTTAACCAACCTTCAATACAGAATGACATGCTCGAAAACTCGAACATCTTGTAAGCCACGGAGCACTATTGCTCAGGAGATCCACATCCACACAACGTTGTGAGAGGTGTCGAGAGCGCCGCCCTCGCTACAGGACCTCAGTGGTCCTGTGTGATGAAGCAGCGATCAATTCTAGCGGCTTA